CTACAAGCTGGGCTTATTCGTGAGCAGGCATCCGGTGTTTTTCCTCACTGTGCCCGCAGTCCTGACCATCATCTTCGGCTTCAGCCTGCTCAACCGCTTCCAGCCTGACACTGACCTGGAGAGCCTGGTAGCCCCCAGCCACAGCCTGGCCAAGATCGAGAGGAGCTTAGCCAGCAGCCTTTTCTCCCTCGATCAATCCAAAAGCCAGCTGTACTCGGACTTGCACACCCCGGGGAGGTATGGCAGGGTGATTCTCCTCTCCAAACCCGGAGGCAATATTTTGCATCAGGCTGATGTGATCCTGCAGATCCACCGAGCCGTGCTGGAAATGAAGGTGAACTACAAAGGCTATAATTATACTTTTTCCCATCTGTGTGTGTTGAGAAATCAGGATAAGAAATGCGTGCTGGATGATATTATTTCAGTGCTAGAGGATCTGAGGCAGGCTGCCCTCTCCAATAAGACAACAGCCAGGGTGCAAGTGAGCTATCCCAACACTAAATTAAAGGTATGCTCTTACTGCATGCTTTTGCCAATTAAAGAGGCAGCACTTCATTTCTTGTCCTAAACAGCAAAGAGAAATATAATCATATCTCTCTCTATCTAAATGTGTGTGATCTGGGCTTTCCTCGGGAAGCAGCTGAAAGCGGTGCCTTGCTATTGTTCTGTACGAGGAAAGAGGGGGGGGGCTGGACGCTAACGAACCAGGAGAGCAGGGACCGGAGGACAGCCTCGGGACCGGGAGACCTTGCGATGCCTCCAAGGGTTAATACGTCGGGGAGAAGGGACAGGGGGTCGGTGGGGGGGTTGAGAGCTGGGGTTTCTCTATCACCTTTTCCAGCTCCATTGACGTGGTGGGATAATTGGTCTTTAATATGGCCAGAAAAGTCTTTCCTCAAATGCACAGTGAGCTCCTGTATCTCCCTGCCTCTGCGAGTGCCGTAGGAGCAGCAGGAGGTTTGGGCCAGGAGTGGTTTCAGGTGTCCTGCCTTCTTTTTCTTTACCTGCATGCAAAGAAGGGGAAGGGAGGTGGAATTTTTTCTCTCGGTGTGAAAATAATTAACTCTGCTGCGGATGGATGGGCTGGAGCTTTGGGACGGATCCCATCAGCTAGAGCCTTCCAGCAAAGGCGAAACAAGGTAAAAAGTGAATGAAGTTTTGGTCCTTCCAATTAAAAGAATAATTCGGCAGAAATGATCTCAGGAATATTTCCCTGGCACACAAGCACCTACCTGCTTTCCCTCTCACCTGGAGCAATCCAGTTCACCAGGGCTAACGTGCTATGAGCAAATAAGGTGCAAAGTTTGCAGGTGGCCGCTGAAAGAAGTTTCTGCAAATTATAGCATATCTGCATGCTCCCCCAGGCATTGCACCAGAGGCAGCTTTTATTTAACAGAGTGGAACAAACTCCCTAGCACACTACTTACCCATGGCTCCCGTCTTAGTGAAGAAGATATGGTCCTCCTTGTAAACCAAAGAGGCTCTTTGGGGTTAACTGTCCCCCTTTTTTCAAAGACATCCTCAGAGATGAGGGAGATGGTGCTTTTGTAAGTACCAGCCAGACTCTAAAGTTACCATTTGTTCCTTAGTGTTCATCTACCAGGAAAAAAAGTAAAGCCAGTCCCTGCTCCAAAAACTGAAGCAGAGACAAATTGATTTCATTGGTCTTTTTGCTTCAGTAAAAGGGCCGTGTGGGACAGTTGGGATTTGACCCCCGTAGCTCTAGATGTTACAGTAATTGCTTTGTGCAGAGTTGTGGCGGTTTGCGTGTGTGGAAATGAAAAGGTGTCCTTGCTGCTGCTGGAAAGTCCTGGGTACAAGGAGTGCTCAGAAACCCAAGTTATTCTTCTGGATTAAATATCCTTGAACAAATTCTGTCTTTTAGTTCTCTGTGAAGACAACCCTGCTATTGCAGAATTAAAGTGCTTTCTTCCCATTATGATTATTTTGAAAGTCAAGATTAAGCTAGCTCAGTGAAGAACACTGATAATCCAGACTAATTTAATTATAAACCAGCTTTATACAGAAATAGTCGTTCTACTCTCTCAATCCAGATTAATTTTCTTGTGTAGAGAAACCCTAACTGAGTTTGGCAAAACTAGGATGGGGTCACTTGCAATGTGCTTTATTACTAGGAGAGTGCCTACAGCTCCTCCTTTATTAAAGGTAAAATCAAAGGAAAAAATAACATGGTCTAAATTGGAAATTTATTGGAATAAAATTGATCGGTAGGTAATTCACACAGAGGAAGGTTTACCCAAAGCATTGATGTCTGAGTGTTGCTGAATACCAGTCCAACACCTCCAACCCCCCAAGTAGTTGTTACGTATCATCTTCCAGATGAAGGAATAAACGCCCTTAAAGTGCCCAGGTTTTAAAGTTGGGCAGAGCAGGCAGCTTTCTGCCCACTTCTCAGTAAAGGACAGTAAAGCTGCCAAAACCTGTGACCGTGCTTTAGAGAAAAGCTAACGATTAGAACCCATTTCTCTGGATAGGGAGAGTCCCTGGTACTCAGAAAATGAAACACACTTTGCCACAGTTTTTCTGATATGGTAAGGAGTCTGTTGTGGGACCATGGTCAGCCCTGACCCTGGACTAGCCTTCAGCTATGCATGTCCTCAGAGTTTCACCTCCCCCTGGTCTCTTTGGCTCCAGCGTCTTGGAATAAATTACTACTTTGTGTAGATTATTTCACTTGGTGAGCCCTCCTCTGTCATTTCTGTTGTCCCATCTACCAAGATACAGGGTTAGAAAGTTGTGGACAAGCTTCTCTTGCCTTTCTTCAAGCCATGGCCAAAGTATTTATTTGATCCCAGGCTATTTACTGACCTCTCTCTCTCTCCACCTCTGAGCAAAGGTTGTAGAAATCCAGATTTGTGTTGCTGGTTTTGGAGTGTCTAGATGTGTTTAACCAGGGATACCTCAGATGATGCACCCATTAGGGAAGATCAGTGTCTGGATGATCAGCAAAGGGAATGACCCCTGTGGCTATAGCTATGAAGTTTTTTATTTCTTGAGTAGTGACATAACAGAGCGGTTGTGGCCAGACCTGATGGGAATGCAAACAAGAGGGTCAAATCTGCCTGCCCTTATTCAGAGTGGACCAGTGTTCATCACACTCACTGGTCCATGTCCTTGGGAACTTTCTCAGCTAGACTTTTCTGCACCATAAGGACACTCCAGGATCCTCTAGGTTGCCTCACTTTCTCAGAGGACGTGTTGTTTGATTATTACTGGTGGATTTTGCTCTGTCTTGTTCTTTTAATAATAACCTGAGATTAAATAAAATTTTTCTAAGAACAGTGCGGTGGTTTTACAAACCATGAAGGTGTCCCAGATGTGTTTAGTCTGTAGCTGACATGGGTCAAATATCAACCTGTACTGGATTGGGAACCACAATGAGCTGTTCCAACCCCTCTCCTGCTCCATCTGGGAGCTGAAAAAAACATCTTGCATTTTTTTTCTTTCCCTCAAGCCTCGTGAGCAGCTCTCACTTTATCTTTCTTCTTGTTTCCTGCTGCAGCCCAAATTGTTTGATTCTCTTAGGTGAGGCTGCTGAAGGCTGGATGTGGGTGAACACTGGCCAGGTCTTTCATGGGACCTTTGTGGGAGCTGTACAAGCAGGCTACAGCAAACAGCGCTGGTTTTGAAACAGCTGTTACTGGGCTGCAAAACCTAATGAAACTGCTTGACTTTTCCTAAGAAAATCTGTCTGTGAAGGATAATGATTGTTTAACCATTACTTGCGGTAGTGTTGGAAGAGCTTATAACTTAGTATCTTCACTGCCGCTCTGTAAGTCGGGAAAACTTGGTCTCTGTTCGCCAGAGGAGGAGCAGAGAGATGCCACTTACATCCAAAGTGCAGACTGCAGTGTGGTTTCAAATGCCTGAGATGGGTTTAAAATCCAGTCAGGGAGCACAGGATTGATTGTAGGCTAGTTTATTCTTCTGAAAGGCCAGGTGAACCAAGCTGTACGAAAATGCCTGCTCCCCTTGCCTTGGGGATACTCTCTATCCTGTTCAGTTGCTGCTACGCTGCAATCTGCAGCCCAGCCAGAAGAGTGACTTGCTCAAGGTCATGCAGATAGACTGTTCTGGAGCAGGAAAACAAAGCAGGATGTATGAAGTCTTGATGAAAACTTTTGAGATATGTATTGGAGCAAGATTGCTCATTCTTTCCCCAGCCCAGAACAAAAAAATGTTTCTGTGCTTGGAGTCTGGATTGTGTCCTAATCACCTAGACTGGGCAAGTCTACACTGACCATTGACTGTCAGTTATCAAATTGTTAGATCGTAAGTTTTGACAAATCCCGGCATCATTTTTGTCAATGAAGCCTTCCAGGACAGTGCCTGGGCATGGCTTAGGAGACAGCATGGGAAAGGGTCCATTCCTGGTTGCTATATTTACTCTGTTCAGAGGATAAAAGTGTGTATCTGCTTGCATATCTTGTGCCCCTACCCCCAGGGCCAGAGTATGGTCTGAGGCACATTTTAGTTATTGATATAGAGACAACTATTGATTATATGGAGGTGATTTATTGTGTACTATCAGATATGAGGAAGGAGATAGGGTTTTGACCCTGATTTGCCAATAACCCCAACAAAGTTGCTGTTCTTATCAGAAAAAAAAAATCTCTAAAAAGGGTGAGAATTATTTCTGAACACACTCCTAACCTGAAGGTAAAAAAGAGGCATGAAAGCATTTTTCCACTATTTCACCTTTACAGTGTCTTTTCATGTTTATTTGCTAGATTGTCTGAGAAAAGATAATAACTTAGGACTTATCTCTCTGAGATCAGAACAAATGTGACAACTGTTGTTTAAAAGGAGCCTTTGTAAGCAGATTGGTTTTTGTAATATTGCCTTCAATTAATTAAGTATCACTCATTTATGAACACTAGGCTAAAAAGCAGCCAATAAAGCAGACATCTCTATTACCACATTTGTGATAAGCACATCAGCTGGATGTTGTATCCTTTATTGCTTAAGCAGAAAAGTTACTTGCATTCACTTAGCATTTTGAAACCTGTACTTGCAGACTTGCTACTGGCCAGATTCTCAATTTTTCTGATGCTGACAGCTGTACTTTTAAATAAGTTTTGCTCCATTTGCATTTGTGGAGTCTTTCCCACTGGCCTAAGATTAACTCCTTCTTACATGACCCTGAGGCATCGACCACCTCCGTGGTTCAGAGAGGTTCAAAACCAGTGCCCACCTGTATCAGAGTAGGCATCTGTGTATCAATAATATCCACAAACTGTTTATTCCTTCAGCAGAGACGGTTTGAGTATAAGATTAGTCTAGCTCCAAGGACCAGATGCTTCCTTGGAGGCAATGTGGCTCTGTACCCATTTGTGATACCACCCGTCCCAATCCAAGCCTGTGGCTCAGGATCCTGTGAAGTGCTCTGTGGCTGGCAAAAGCTGTTAAGTCAAAGCAAAATAATAAAACATGAGCAGGGAGATCAGAAGGGGAAGACTGGAGGCTGCGGATAGTTTTCATCTCAGC